TGAGCCTTTTGTCTCTCCTCCTGCAGATCTACGAGGTGGTCCGGCCCCTGGTGGGCCTCCTGCACTTGAACCGCAGTGCCCTGCAGAATTTCGAGGGGCTGATGGCTCTCACCAACCTGGCAGGGACCAGTGAGCGGCTCCGGTAAGGCTGGAGAGGCAGGCAAGCAGGCTGGCCATCTCCCTGGGTCCCAGCCCTGTCCTCTGGGAGGGTTACGTTCCTTGGAGGCAGGGGCCATTACCTTCTCCTGCTGGCTCCTCCTCCTGCAGGCAGAAGATTGTGAAGGAGAAGGCCGTGCCCATGATCGAGGGCTACATGTTTGAGGAGCACGAAATGATCCGCTTGGCAGCCACTGAGTGCATGTGCAACATGGCGCTGAGCCCAGAGGTGAGCAGGGGTACTGGGCCACCTGGCTATGCTGGGGCCCTGGGAGGTTTATCTCCACTCACATCTCTCTTTTGGGCAGGTCGGGGAGCTGTTCCTGGTGGAGGGCAGTGACCGGCTCAAGCTGCTGGTCCTGTACAGCGGGGAGGACGACGAGAGGCTCCAGCGGGCAGCTTCAGGGACACTGGCCGTCTTGACCTCGTTGCTGCCCCAGATCTGCTCCCGCATCCCTCAAGTGGTGAGTACCGCCTGGAGGGTGGGCTGAGCCCAGCAGCTGCCCACTGGGCATGGCAGACCTTTGGAGGGTCTCCAGGAACTGGGTGGATGCTGGGTTTCCTTCCTGCTTGCTAACTGACCTCTCACTCTCTTTCCCCAGACGACTCACTGGCTGGAGATCCTGCAGGCCCTGCTCCTCAGCCCTGCCACCGAGCTCCAGCACCGCGGGGTGGTGGTAGTGAGGAACATGGTGGCTGCTGACAAGGAGGTGGCCGAGAAGCTGATGGAGAGCGAGACGATGGAGATCCTGTCTGTTATGGCCAAGGCCAAGGACAAGCCCCAGATTGCCCAAGTGGCCCAGGAGTGCCTGGCGCAGGCTGTGGCTTATGGCTTGATCAAGCCCAACCCTCCTGCAGTTGCCCAGAAGGAGGGGGACTGAGAGCTGCCCCCTCCCAACCTGCTTGGGCACACTGCGCTGTCGCTGCTGCTGGGCACAAGCACCAGGGCACAGGAGGGAGGGGGCTTGGGGCTGCTGGGACCAGGGGAGTGAGCCACAGCGATTGCCGCTGGCACCCTTCAGAGCCACAGGGGGTGGTGCCACCATTTTGTGGCACGGAAGGCAGCTCCAGGGACTGTTTTGCAGCCTCTTGGTGCTCTTAGCTGTCTCTCACCTAGAGGAGGGTATCGCTGGGCTGCTGCTGCTACACACCTTGGCAGCGCTGGTGGTGACGGGTGGTGGGCTCCCCAACTACCCCTAGGCTTGGGGTCACGGAGCTGCTTGTGCTGCATGGCTGCCTTTTTTAATTTCCTGCTGCTGGAAATCACAGCCTTCCTGTCCCTCTGGAGCTGCTCCTTCATGGTCTGAGGCTGCAGCTCCTGAGGCCTCCTCCCCTCCCTTGGGGTAGGAAGAAACTGCCTTACTGACAATCCATTCCTCTTGCCCACCGTGGCAAACAGGACCACCATTTATTGTAAGCAAATATGATGTGGGAAAGAATGTAAACTGTATGAAAAGATTATGGGAAACTATACAGATGACTTTTTCGGTAAATCTGATTTCGTGTGTTTCTCAATATTGCATTGATTGAATGGGGAGGGAACTGAACTAGGCTGTATGTAAATTGAGGGGATGGGACCCATCACCATTTAGGGATATGTCTGACCTCCAGAGTGACTCAGGCAGAGGCAGAAGATGATCAGACCCCTTCCCACTTGGACCAACCTCCCTCCCACAAGGAAGAACAACCAAGCCCGTGTCCTATGGTGTTGCTAGGCCCAGGAGCGAAGGCTGAAGCCCCCTCCTTCCTCTTTTACATTAAACTCTTGAAAGCAACCACTCACTTGCCATGTACTAATAGATGGCATACTTTTGAGGGTTTTAAACTCTCCCCCCCCCCATTTTACTTTTAAAAACCAAGCGGGGGTGGGATGGGGGCTTTGCAGCACATTCATAATTCAGGCCAGCTGCCTTTGCACTTTAAAACTGGGCCTGGAGCTGGTTCTAGGTGTCATGGCATGAACTGTCATTTGCAGGAAAGAGTAAGATACAGTGGAACCTCAGGTTGCAGACATAATCCGTGACGGAGGCACGTCCGCACCCTGCAGCATTTGCATCCTGAAGCGCCGCGTCTGCACTGGCGCTGGCGCGATTTGGCACTTCTGCGTATGCGCAAAGCGTGATTTAGCGCTTTGCATGCACAAATGGCGTAACCCGTTCCGGTACTTCCAGGTTTCCTGCGGTCTGCAACCCAAAAACATGTAACCTGAAGCGTCCGTAACATGAGGTATGACTGTAAAGGCCTCATATCACCTATGCGTTGGGGAAAGAAAGATTTTAGTTTTCAACCCTTGAGAGAGCCATGGACCGATCTGATGTGGGCGCAACAGGGTTTGCTGTCAGGTTAAGTTTCTCAGGTGATCTGGAGGGTCTGCCATCCCACAGAGGTTTTTGGAACTGCAAAGAATGAAGAATCCTTCAAACTCCTTTGCAAAGAAAGCCACAGAAGTGCTCCTGGTTCTCTCCACTGTCTGTTTTCTTCACTAGCAATACCATCAGCAGTAGCTGGGCAGAGGTACCGGTACTTCAGCCCCCGCCCCCTCTCCTGCCAAAGCAGCGCCTTTTGCCAAACAGGGAAAGGGGACCTGGTTTCAGGCTTGCCCTGGTTTTCTGTGGTCCAGCTTCGCCAGCTGCTTGGCAGTAGTAGGGGCATCATAATAGTTCCTCTCTGCTCCTGGTTTGAATTATTTAGGATATTCTCTCCACAGCTTCATTCAAGGTAACACATGTAACACAAGCATCAAGCTGTTTCTCTGGTAAGGGGCAGGGAAGAAAAGCCTTGAGTGATTTTAAAAGCAGAGTTAATGTGCACTCTTAGGCTTGCCTACTGAGCAGGAAGCCCAGGGGGACATAACCCAGGTAATTATCGCAAGGACTGTAGCCTTATGTTGAGGAGTTCCTTCTACCACTGTCTCTCTCAGCTTCATTGTACTGGGGTGGGGGTGGGGAGGCAGTTACTGTGCTCCTGTGTGCCTGCTCTTGGGGCAACCTGGGTTGCTTGTAGCTTGTGACAGATGTGAAGGAACAACCATTACCTTCTAAGAAGCACTATAAGTCCAGTACTGCCCCAGTTCACTGCCCCAGGTGGCTAAGCTGTTCCTTGTTCCAGGTCAGATTTTGTGAATCTGGCAGAAGTAAGGTTCCTTCAGTTTAATTCTATTAAAAGTTGTCATCATGGTATCTTATGCCCAGGGCGTTTCACAAGTTAGCTGGAAGACAAATCCCAAAAGCTCATTTTCTGATTTGTCCTGCATTCTGAATATTGGAGGAGAAACAACTATACTTTGCAGGATGATGTTAAAACCTATGCTTGCCTGCCTATTTCTGAGGCCTCAGCCTACATCAAATGCTGCAAATGAGGAACTTCCCTCAGCACTCTTCTGTTTTCGGGGGTGGGAAGCAAGGGGGATTCCTCCAGTTGATTCCTCAGAGCAGGGGTGCCAACTTGAATAAAATATTGGGCGCACCAGATAAGCCCCGCCCCACACAATCGATCACATGATGCAGTGCACGCACACCATTTGAATGGCAATAGTGGGACTGGGTTAAAGGCGGATCTATGTGTGATTTGACAGTGAGTTAGGGGTGGCCCAATGCAAAAAGCATGAGGATCCATGAGGATCCGTGCTTCAGAACCACGTTTTTGGGCCATCATATGGCCAGGAAACCACATTTTTGGGCCATGGTATGGCCAGGAAGCCGTGGATCAGAGTTTTTTGTGGTGCAGGCTGTGCACCTGGCTATGATATGTGATTTGACAGTGAGTTTGGGGTGGCCCAATGAAAAAAGCATGAATATGCATGAGGATCCGTGCTTCAGAACCACGTTTTGGGGCCATGGAGTTGCAAGGAAGCTGTGGATCCAAGTTTTTTGTGGTGCAGGCTGTGTGTCCATTAAACTTTAATTAGTTTAATGTTAAGTAAACGTCCAGTGCGCTTCCAACGCCATAAATCTTATCTCAGCAGAGAATTTCGTGCAGCGGTTGAAGAAGGCAGGAGAGTCAGTACCTTTCAATGAAGAATCCTGGAGCAAGCACTTTGGAACTCAGGAAAAACTTTATTTACACACATGCTTTTATCTCCAGCATAAAGAAAACTTTACTCTAAACTTAACTCATATCAGCAAACACGCCCATGGCCACAAACTGAGTCTGCGAGTCAGGTGGAAGGGGGGAAGGGGGTGAACTGACTATTTATACAAACTAACTCACATTCCTGGATGCTTAATGACTTCCAGCTGCTCAGTGATTAGAGCAACTTGTTACCTCTTAACCCTTTAGTACCAACACTGTGCCCCTGGCTATGATGTGTGATTTGACGGTAAGTTTGGGTTGGGCCAATCCAAAAAGCATGAGGATCTGTGCTTCAGAACCATGTTTTTGGGCTATGGTATGGCGAGGAAACTGGACCTGAGTTTTTTGTGGTGCATGCTGTGCCCATGGCCATGATGTTGATCCGATGGTGGCTTTGGGCTGATCTAGTGCAAAAATCATGAGGATCCGTGTTTTTTAACCATGTTTTTGCACCATAGTGGTCCCACGAAACAGTGGATGCGTGATTTTTTTGGTTCTGCCTACAGACATGGTCTACACTACAGTATCATGGTGGTTTTATTTAATTTGAATGAAAAAAATCATATGAATTCATGAGGATCCGTTTAAAATCATCTGGATCCGCCTTTTACCCAGTCCCGGCACTAGCCATCAACTTTGAGCGGAAAGAACAAGTTGTTTTCGGGTGGGGGGGGGAGGGTAGCGGGACACCGGAGCGGCCCAAGGCAGCCTCCGCCAGAGCCAGAGAAAGGGTGGAAACTGCCGGCTGAGGCGCCTCTTGTACTGTACTCGACCCGCCGCAAGAGGCGCTCGCCTTCCGGGCGGCGGAGATGGCGGAGGGAGCTCGGGGAGGCGGCGGCGGCGGCTGGTTCCAGTTCGGCTTCTGCTTCGGGAAGGCGACGGAGGCCGGGCTGGAAGTGGCGCCGCTGCTGGTCGGGGGCGAGGCCGGGCCAGTGCGCTGCGTGAGGCCGAGCTGGAGCTTCTCCGGGATCGTCCGCGCCGGCGGTGAGGGGCACCCACTAGAGTCCCGGGGCCATGCGGGGTTCATGCTTCCCCACCCCTTTTACTTAGGCTGAGCAGGAGCGGGGAACCAAGGGGTCCCGGCCGTGGGGGAGATGCTGCTCAGCATCCCCCATCAGCACCCCCAAACTCCTCCCCTGCTTGCTGGGGCTGCGGGAGATGCAACGACGCCAGGCAGGGCACAGAAGCCCCATCCCGTCGGTAGAGGAGAGCGGGAAGTTTCTCCATGAGCCTTGATGGTGGCCCAAAGCCGCCTTTCTGGTGGCGGCGGCGGCGGCGGGGAATATCCTATTCTGTGGCCGCGATATTCCTTCTTTGCCTCCTGCTCCGCTTGGACTGAGAGCTCCAATCCGCCCCCCTCGCCCCGTCTTGCCTTCTGCCTCCCGCAGGGTCCCCCCCGGTGCTGTTGCAAGGCGCGGTGTGCGCGGCGCTGCCGGAGGACTGCCGGGACGTGCTGCCGTCGGAGACGCACGTGCTGGTGCTGCGGGAGGCGGCGGTGGAGAGCTGGCCGGTGGAGGGTTCGGCCCTGGTCCTGGAAGGAGAGCCGGCGTGGAGGTGCGAGATCCTCCCCGGGGAAGCAGCGACCGTAGGTAGGTAGGTAGGTGCGCGGGCAGAAGCGCCGCCCTGAAAGAAGAGGAAGCTGTTGCTGCACCCCAGGATGAGCCATCCCTTCTGCTCTTAACCCTCTTTCTCTTCTGCCCCAGAGCTGCCCCTGGTGCCTGGCGGGTACGTGGCCCCTCGGCCCCCTTTCTTCACCCCTCTGCCCTCCACCTTGCAGGCTCGCAAGCTGGCCCTGGGCTATGAGCATGCGGTGCTGCTCAACACAGAGGGGGCCCTCTTCTCGTGGGGAGGCGGCAGGTGAGTCTGGCGCAGGTGAGGACTAGTGTTGCCCTCCTAGCAGGGCTATGGTTAAAACTAGCAACCGACCTCCCGCAGGAGGCAGTGATGGCTGGCAGCTTTAGAGGAGGGTTGGGCAACTTCATGGAGGAGAAAGCTCACAATGACTACTAGCCATGATGGCAAGCTCTGCCTCCATAGTTACTGGAAGCCAGTAGAGGAAGGGAGAGGTGCTCTTAGGCTCAGATCCTGCTTGTGGGTTTCCACAGGCATCTGGTTGGCCAATATGAGAACAGGATGTTGGACTAGAATGGTCATTGGCCAGATCAGGCAGATCTCTTCTTAGGTTCTTACCTAGTGCTAGGTGGGCTTCTGCATTGGGGGGAGGGGGAGGGGAAGCATGGTGGCTGCTACTCCTCCTCCTCCTGTCTTTTCTTCCCAGGCACGGGCAGTTGGGTCATGGGGAGCTGGAGAGCAGGACAGAGCCCCAGCTGGTGGAAGCCTTGTACGGGGTGCCCCTGGTGGATGTGGCGGCTGGAGGATGGCATTCAGCTGGCATTAGTGGTAAGGGGGCAGGAGGGCATGGTCTGTAGTGGCCCATCTTAAGCAATGAATAGCTAGGGATTCCAGCACCCCAAAATAGACTTGCTGTTGCTTTTTTACATTGGTAATAATAGTAACAAAAATATCAATGGAATTGTTGATGCCAACCTTTTGAGGCTTGTTGATGTGGTGTCAGGGGTTAAAAGGGGTCCTGCTCCTTGAACAGAGGCAGGGACCCTGTGGCTGTCCACATATTTTTGTTGGACCTCCTCCCTCAATGGCCAGGGCTGACTTAAGACCATCATTCAGCCACTACCGCTGCTTAAATAGTTCATGGGGGTTTTGAGAGATGCATCTCCTACAGAAGTGAAGTTCCCTTTTCTTCACAGCTGTTAAAGATACTGCTAACAGTTACCTCCTTTGCCCTTATTTACTTTTTCTGTCTTAAACTTTCTTAAAGTTATAAACCCAAAAATATAAAGATGGGGTGAGGCTTCTGATACAACCTTTCCCATCACTTTCAAATAATAAACTCCCCTTTGCATGGGAAGCCAAATCCCTCATAAGGCCAGAATCAGCTTTCGCTGGAGAATACATTTTGCCAGCCCTGAGGCCTCTTCCTTGGGAAAAAGGCCACGTTGGTCCTGGACAGAGCTCCTAGCTGCTCTCTTTCTCGCTCTCTGACAGAAGCAGGTGATTTGTACGTCTGGGGCTGGAATGAGATGGGACAACTTGCCCTACCTTCCAAATCTGTGGCTGAGAGTAGAGCCACCACGGCAGAGGTGAAGAGAGGTGAGGCTACTTCTGGGACAGAGCTAGATGCTCTGTTGGCAAACTTGGCCCAGGGCAAACATACACTACACCCCACAGCTGTTGCTGGGGTATGAGTTGACTTTGGCAGTTTTATTTATACTGGGTTGTTTCTAGGGAACACGGAGTTGAGCTTGGCAGAGCAGGAGGCAGCACAAGGACCCTGCAAGGCTGCATTCATTTCGATCCAAGCCTTCCCTGCTTTGCTGGATATGCCAGATGGGGCAGATGTCTGTAAGATCAGCTGTGGTTCACGACACACCGCTGCTGTGACATGTAAGAGGACGCTGGGTTTGTCTTTCAGTGAGGGGAGCACAGGGATAGCAGGATGAAGGCTTCACTGCCCAGTACCTGAAAAATATCCTGGGGCTGTTGCTGTCCGCCTGAGCCTCATTTGTGGAAGGGGAAACATCCAAGAGTGAAGGACAAACAAGCGTAAAATGTGTGTGACGTCTAACACAGTTTATGTGTAAGGATGCCCAGCAGCCCTCCCAAAACTGCTTACTGTCAAAATTGCTGCACATGGAGTTCCTAAACAGCGCAAGCTCTTTGGTTTTTGCATGGCTGGGAAATCACAACATAGCGTAAAAGGGTCCTGAAGGTTTCTCCTTTTCCATTGTTTCTTGGATCTGCCCCATTCCCCCAAAGAGGTGCTCAACTGTTATCCTTCAACAACCTCAGTTAAACACTGGTCATCCTTGTATTTCAGGTACAGGAGAGCTCTACACCTGGGGCTGGGGTAAGTAAGCTGGGGGGTGGATTACAGCTGCCCTTAGGGTTAGTACTCCGTCTTCTCTTCCTGCTCCAAGGGCAAACTGGTGCCAATAGCTCTTCTTGGTTGCAGGTAAATATGGCCAACTGGGGCATGGGCAGACAGCCAGCTCTGATGAGGCAAAGAGGGTGTCCTGCTTTGTGGACTGGGGTCTACGTGTAGTAGACGTGGTATGTGGACCATGGACTACTTATGTACATGCTGTGGCCCAATAACAGCTGAGATGGAGGGCAAGAATCCAGAAACCTTTGGGAAGACAGCATGGACAGGACCTACTCCTACTGCTGCTCCAGTCCAATGCTCTACTGTCTGAGTAGAGGCTCAATCCGACTTTATCCAAGTCCCAGATCAGGTGTAGTGGCTTCATCTAATCCTCCCTCCACCTGCCTTCCAGTAACAGCTACTTCAATGGACAACACAAGGGCATCTTTAGATAAAAGAGGGAGCTGTTTTAGCACCTCCAAGAACACAACAGAGGCAGAGTTATACAGAGCATATTTTATGTAGCGCTAAATTGCCATGATGGACAAAACAGATGTTGGAACAGTCATTTTGTGAATAAAGCTATTGCTGCCACAGTCATCCTTACTAGCCTGCAACACAGTCATGGTTCTTTGGGCAAGAAGCCAGATGCCAGGCAGCAGGACATTGCGGTAGAAGTGGAGTAGAGTTAGACTGCTCTCCTCAGCTAAGAGCCCTCATCAGAACAATACAATTGATTAGTCATTATACAGAACAGCAGATAAACAAGATGTGAACATACTGCCATACAAATAAATAATAAAAGGACACTGTAGTGAAAACAAGGTGCAAATCTTGCCACGATGATGGGGAGGGTGGGGGTGGTTGGCAGAAGCCTCTCCTCCTCCTTCCCCATCCCCAAGAGGAAGGCAGGACTAGCCCAGCTCAAAGGCAGCAGCAAGAAATCAGCCCCGTCCCATTTGTCATAACTAAAGGTGAGCTGTGCTTCTCTCCAGTGGAACAAGACCTCTGGAGCAAGCATGGGGACGCGTCCTAAAAAGCCCCAGGACTTGATCACTTTTTCCTACTGCAAGCAAGTTTAGGGGCTGCCTGCTTTCCCTCCTCACTTCTGTTGCAACTACTCCCTCCCCCAAAAGCAACCGCATAAGCACCAAGGAGGGCAGTAAAGATTCTGCCCGCATAAACAGGATGGATGGAGTGCTGCCACTGTGGGCTCTCTCACACCCTTTGCCTAGCAGAGGGCAGGAGCCAACGTTCCAGAGGCTTGCAAGAGTATAGGTTGGGGTGGGCCAGGATCCCTCTTTCCTTGCTGCTGGAACCCTAGACTAGACAGCAAGTTGTGCACCTAGAGTAGGCTTACTTATAAGAAACCCTTTGCAACATTTACATTTTATTCTTTTTAATATACAAAAAAAATTGTTTAAAAAAATCAGTGTGGTAAAAACAAGGAACAAATAGTTAAAAGTGGCCCTGCCTCCATTGCCACAGGCAACAGGGCCAAGCAGGGAGGCACACGGCTTTGCCTAACCCCAGGAGGGAAGTCCAGTGGTGCCAGCTCCTTTGGCTACCTTCCTTTGCCGCTGTGTACAAGCTCCCCGTCAGCTCTCAGCATTGGAAACCGTGGAGTTAAGGATGCGGGATTTGAAGTCAGATCTGGAAGCCTTTGAAAGTTCTTGCTGTGAAAAGATAAATTCTATGTGATGTAACTGAGCAAGCTGGATCAAAGAGCAGTGGAGACCCTCTTGTGAGTGTGGAAGTCCCAGCCCAGGGCAGAAGGGAAGGTGTACCAACACCACACAACCCACCTTCCCACCAACACCAAGCTCCGTGCAGGTATATTGCAGGCAAACACATGCAAGGGGAATAAAGAGGTGCTTAACCCCTTTCCAAATGTACCCCCTCCCAGTATCCAGGTACACTCTTTCCCTCTCCACTGCTCTATGCTCCCCAAAGCTGCTTTCCATTCCATAAAACACATACATGGGGCTGGGGCTTTATTACATAGGCTCACATGCAACCTGAGTTTATCCATAAAGTGCCAGGTGTGGGGCCAGGTGCCGTCCATGTTTGAGACCAACCAGGCAGAGGAGAGTGGACAGCTGGCTCGTTGCATTAGGAGGTTGGCTCAGCTAGGGAGGGGGTGCTCTTGGGAAGGAAAATGTGAAATGATTACCGTTGTACTGCATGCTTCATTACAGTTCAAGGGTGGCTCACAGCATCCTGGGTGGCCTGTGGCTCCCCAAGGGAATGAGTGGGGCAGGCAAGGGCAGCTGGCAGCCCAGTTGCTGAGAGTGGTGGCTGTCAGGTTAGAGGCGTTGAGAGAAGAGGGAAATTACCGCAAACTCGGAATAGGTGCTGGCAACAGAGTTAATGCTGCAGGTGCTCTGGGCAGGGGCTGCAGGGGTGCACCCACCGCTCAGAACTGTTCTGTTGAGCTGAGCGACATTCTCCTTGTTGTGCTCCATGGGTCCTGGGCGAGGGGACTTGGGGGCCATGCGGCTGGGAGTCCGGAGAGGCTGCGGAGGCAGAGGGGAGCAGCACTGGAGGTTAGAGCTTTTGACAACAAGCTTCCGGGAGCCCTGCCGAGAAGCAACACAGAAAAGGTTACTGAGCAACCAAGAACCAGTAAGCCACGGGGTGGGGGTGGGGGACAACACAAAACAACATTCTACGAGGGCACTGCATTCTTCTGACTTGGCATAAAAGTGGCCTCTTTTCTACTTGCAGTACCCGTTGCTTAAGATGGTTGGAAGGAAGAAATGTATGCTGCCTAAATAATGTGTTACAAAGCAAGTAATAAACATTATCACTTTTTTAAAAATAAAAAATTTCTTGCACTTCAGTAAACCATGAGGTTGCCCCCAGCCCTTGCTGATAATTTCCCTCTTGGGTCCATGCGTAGCTATAAAGATTTGCACCCAGGACTGAATGTTGGAAACAGGAAGAATTTAGATACCAGCAGCTGCTGCTTACTTTTCCTCCAGAGAGTGCTGGGTGGGGTGTTGGGGAGTGGAACAGAGAGCCCCCAAATGCTGAACGGATGGTGCTGTTCGGGGTAGCTGTGGTGTTAAGCTGCAAGAAAAAGCCATGAGTTAACACAAGTGCGCTCTCCCTAACTCCAGGTGGCAAAAGCACTTTTTTTCCACCCCAAGCACCTAGCAATAAAACATCTCTTCACAGTGGAGGTGCAGCTCCCCCCTTTTTTTTACACCATCTCCAACCCTATCAAATATTGGAAGGGTGTGTGGATACATATTAAGAGCAAGCAGAACTGTGTATAATGCTCTGGATGTGGCTGCACCATAGGATTTGGTTTTTTTATATAAAAGAAAATATTGTGCAAAAGGTCAGGATTAATAAAGGGTTATAGCTATGCTATTTACTATTACATCATCTCCTGAGGAATATACCTTGCTAGACTATCAATCAGTAAATATACTGTAGTTCTGCAGAAATTTATTAGGTTTGCCTCCTTTCCTCTTGTGTGAGCTTTGTGATTCACACATCTTTGCTTTTTATTTCAGCTATTCCTGGAATTTGCGTTTCCACTCAGTATTTTGCAAAAACAGGTTCTTACAGCCACTGTGAGGGATTCTCAATTCTCTTTGGCTCCTTGGGCATTTTTTCCTTGGTCAATGAAAATCATTTGGTTTTATTGCACTAATGTTTACATTTCCAGCATTTTTATTTCATTGCTAATTTGTACACCACTTTTCTACATTACTGTACAATCGAAATGCTCAACAAAAGCCACACTGTCATCCCATAACTATTTCAAGAATAACCAAAAAAACCACCGAAATTCATAATTCATTGCACATGTGGTACTAGGGAACAAACAAACAAACAAAGTGTCCCTTCTGCATGAAGCATCACATGGCAACACGGACCTTCCGCACTTTGCTGGGTGTGATGAAGCCCAAGCCCCGTCTCTTGTTGGGGGTCCGTGGGGTGCTGCCATACATCATCTCCTCCTCAATTTGGCGGGACTTCTTGAGTTGCTGGAAGAAAAAGGAATTAGGTGATTGGTATCCACAGAAGCCCCAGAAGGGGATGGCAAGCAAGTGAGTTAGATTAGCCACAAAAAGGGAAGGCAGCAAGAAGTCCTTCATGTCTGGCTACAAGACTGGCGGGACTGAAGTCCTCTGCAGGCATCTTCTCTTCAGCCTACCTACCCACTGCCAGAGGGGTAACTGATGACTCCTGCTCAGGTTGCCCAAGATAGCCCAGCAGCTAATTTTAAGCTTCAAATTACTGGGTGGTTCTCACAGCAGCATGTGTCAGCTTTGGGACCATTGCTCCAAAATATATCTCCCTCTCCCCTGTACTTCAGACGCACAAAGCAAGGCCTCAAACACCCAGTGCGGATGGTTCAGCTCATTCCCATCCTTTGGAGACCTTGGCCAAGCCGCCTGTGACTTCAGTCACCAGCCAGAGAAGAGAAAAAGGAGTCTGTTTTTCAGACTAAAGCAAGGAGGACAAAGGGGTCCTTGTTAAGTGATGCGGAGATGGAAGCTGCTTGAGGGCTCTCAGCTTGTTCACTCACTCGCTCCTGCTTTTCCTTCTCCTTCTCCATGTGGTGGAGCTGCCATTGCTCTGCCACATACTCCATGAAGCGCTGCCCATTCACCAGGAAGGCCTGCTCCTGCTCCTGCTCCCATAGCTCCACACGCCCCTTTAGCTCCTCCTCCAGCTGCAACGAGAGACAAGTGGCTTCAGCTAAGCTACACAACCAGGGTGCAAAGCAAAGAGCAGGCTGGTTGGGCCTACTGCCTCAGTCCCTCCCAAGGGCAGAAAGGGCCACATGCCTTTGGAAGAGTCTTCTGAAGTTTCGCTCGCAGCTTCTCCTCTTTCAGAAGGTTACCCCCTCGGTTGGTGAAGCGGCTGGGGTCCGTCGCCTTCCTCTGAAAAGGGAGAAGTTGGGAAATGGGCAGGCCTCTTGTGCTTGGGAAGCCACCCTAGGCTGGCCCTCAGCGGCTTCCCACCTGGCCCAGCACCAGACATCTGGCCACCTGTGTGGCTTCTGGCTGTACCTCAAGCTCCTGGAAGAGGCGCCAGTTCTTCTCCCACTTGTGGATGGATTCAAACAGCTCTTGATGCCTTTCGTAGCACTGCTTTAACCGGGAAACTTCCTCTTCATGCTGCTGCAGCAGCTCTTCAGTAAAGTCATCTGGGAAGAAGGGGAAAACAGGATGCCCAGTAGGAAAAGGCCACAGTCAATCAATCTATACCTAGCAGCAACAGCTGGGGAAGGGTCTACTTGCTCACCTTCATAGTAGGGGTAGAAGGCTCGCCTCTGCTCATCCCCATAAAAACACTTGTCCCAGTAGTCTGCCAGCTCGGCCCGGGTGGCCTCCACCACATTTCTGATGTTCTGAAACTTCAGCTCTTGCAAACGATCCACTTCCAGTTTCAGCTAAACGGGGAAGAGCAAAGGGTCAACACACGCCCTGATGGCACTGACCCCCTCTCCCCTCCTGCGTGCACCACAGAACATGAGGGGGGCTCTCAGGGTGCACTGGGATTCGGAACAGGCAGAGGAAGGTTTGAAACAGCTCCCCTTTGATCCTGAGCGCAACTGCCCAGCACGAAGCACCCCTTCTCCCTGTTGGCTTGGCACAGGAACCACTGCTGCTGGTCCGAGGCCTCAGGCCTTTAGTATTCCTTACAGCATCCATGATGGCGGCTTTGGCTCCCACCATGTAGGGGGCAAAGGCTTCCCTTTCCTCCGCAGGCACCTGCAGCCGCTCCCACAGCACCCGAATCCTGGAACGCAGCTCTTGGCACAAGGCTTCCTTCTGAGCTCTCCTGCTCTCGAGCTAGGGACAGAAGGACCAGCCTTAGCCAAACTAAAGGCAGCAGAAGAGATGGGATGTCACAGGCAAGGCCCCCCCAGATCCTTCCCCTAGACCCCACCCTCTGACCTGCTGCAAGAGATCCTTCAGGGCAGCAATGTTGTCCTCCGAGAGACAGAAGGCGTCCTCCTCCTCACACACGACATCTCGCTCAAAGCTGGTGTCAGGGGTGTGCTCCAGCTCCTCCATGCACAGGATGATCTGCCTCTTGGTGTCAAGGAACTCCTTCTGCCGGCGCTCCTGGAGGAGCAGGACAAAGCAGGACATTACCCATCAAGCCCCAACCTCAGCCTCCCCCCCTGCGCTCATGCACACACAAAGTGTGCCCACCTTTTCAGTTGCTAGTCCTGCCAAGTGGCGCCGGAAGTGGTCCAGCTCCGCCAAGCTGGGCACAGCCTCACTGTCAATGTCATAGGGAGCTGTGCAAAGCAGGTCACACATCTCCCGGTCTCGCTCCTGCAGCACCTTCAGCTCCTGCTTTCTCTCCCGCTTTTGCTTCAGCATTACTTCCACACGGGTGCGCAGGTCCTTCTCTAGCTGCAGGATGGTGGTCTCCTCGTCCTCCTGTGAGAAAAACAGTCCTCCTGAGCTCAGCAGGACCACCCTCTAAGAGACGGCGTCTGAGCCACATTCGCCAGCCCACAGTCTCACCTCAAAAGGAGCCAATTGTAGCTCCTTGCAGAGGATCACCAATTCCTTGCGACACACTGCAATGCTCTTCAGGAGACGCTCTTTGAGGTTCTCCTCCTCCGCAATCATCATGTCCAGCAAGCCCTGGTGGCACAAGAGCAAGCAGCATTGAACCCAGAGCAAGCAAGGACACTACAGCAGCTGCAGAGCCCAGTCAATTTAATCTAGGAAACCCCCTCCCCTGGTGCTTGCAGCTCCACATCAGTAGAGCATGTCAGAGGCCCCCGCTGATCATTCCCAAGAAAGCCCTGTACATGTGGGCTTGCTTTTTGTGATGATCATGCACAAGTCCTTCACCAAAGAGAACCTGTTAGGACAGGGGCCAAAAATAAAATTGCCTATATTGTAACATCTTCATACAAATGTGGTACAGCTGAACTTGGACTGTGATGTTGTTTTGGTTCCTGCATCTTAGAAAAACTGTAGAGAAAAGGGCAACCAAAATGATCAAGGTGCTAAAGCAACTCCCTTGTGAGGATAGGTTACAGCATTTTGAAAAAAGGTGATAACGGGAGGCATGATATTGTTATAAGAATTTTAAGGTCTTAGAGATATATGTTCATAAATGCACCAAGGAAACACATACATAAATAAACAAACATATAAACCACATGTCTGAAGCAGCACAGGAAGACCGTCCTTAAACCATTTTGACTCCCAAGCTGGCCAAGTGTTTCTCTGCAAGGAGGAAGGAGGTGAAAAAACCTTCCCATTGTCTCAGGAATTAAGTAATTACCATCTCAAAGGAATAGCCAGACTACCAGGAAAGGCAATCAGATAAGGCATTGTCAGATAACCTGGCAGAACAGCATTCAAATTTCTGTTGTAGACCGCCTTTTCTGTGATTTAGGTATGATGTATGAAGGGATGGTTTTGAGCTCCAGGGCAGGGAATTTCAAAATGGCTATATAAGGCCTTGTGCGCCATTGTTCGGGGTCCTCCTCCTCTCTCCTGCTTGTGAGGGGAGCACCCTGCTGCAACAGCTTTAATAAAGATCAGGCTTACTAGCTACTTTGCTTCTCAATATTCTTTGGTTGGCCTTTTATTTTCTCCTACCAATGGAGAACCTACAAAGGACTGTATAAGGGCTCTTGTGTACCCCATAAAGGAATAAGGGCAGATTTTGTTTACAATATAGTAGTAGGAAATTACACATGGTGTGGAGAAAGCAGACAGTAATAACCAAACAGGTCATCCAATGAAGCTGAATGTAGGGAGATTCAAGACAAACAGAAGGAAAATTGTTCATGCAGCACACAGTTAAACTGCGGAATTCGCTCCCACAGGAGGCAGTGAGGCTTCTATAGGGTGAGAAGGGCCACAGTTCTGGTAGAACACCTGCTTTACATTCAGGTGTTCAATCCTTGGTATCTCCAGGTAGGGCTGGGAAATCTGAAGAGTTGTTGCCAGTGAATAATACTGAGCGAGATGGACCAAAGTACTAAGGCACTTTCCTGTGTTCTGTTGCATGACAAGATGGGCTTTTGGTCTAATCCAGTCACAGAACTCATCTTACAGGTCTTGACCTTGAACCGTGAGGCCAGGTGAGCTTCCTCTATTCTCTGTTCCCCCCACCCAGACTGCTTAATGATTTTTCCACCTTCTGTAGCAATTGTAATGCTCTATTGTCAGATGCTGTATGATTTTATTCCGCGGTTTATTCTGCTCTGAGATGAAGGGTGGTATATAAATCAAACTACAAACAAACAAACAAACAAACAGATTGATAGCAATACAAAAAAATACGAAGAACACAAACAAATGAAACAAGCAATTAAATTATGGTTAAAAATCGATATGAACAGTTAAAGTAGACATGCCACAGTGACCTGAATGAAGAGCCTCTGACCAGTTTGCGAGCCCCTGCTCCAGAACAGCATTTTTCAATTTTCAGTCTCCAGATATTTTTGGAGCTACAGCTGCCATCAGCCTCTCTGACCACTAGCTAAGCTAACTGGGGAGAGTGGAAGTTGTAGCCCAGCAGCACCTGGTTGAACAGTGCAATGGGGAACAGGGATCGCGTGTCTCATTTAGTCACTTGAGGCAAAATGGAAAATGCCACCCTGCCCTGCTGCCTCCAGCTGCAGTGCCCCGCCCTGCCACCCTGGGGGCTAT